AGAATAGAATAGACAGACAGATGAATAAGATGACTAAGTTGGATAGAATAGAAGAGAAAGAAAGAGGAGATAGACTGCAGAATATGTGTGAAAGATTAAAACAGACTGCAAGAGAAAGAACCTGAGAGATATAATGAATGGACAGAGAAAAAGCGAGCGTATAAGAAGGATGGATAAAGAGAGGAATATGGAATGGACATAAGCTAGGTAGACTAATAATTAATTGGAAAAGATCGAATAGAGAGATGAATACGAGAGAGGAGATATCAGAGATATCTAAAAAAAGATAGCTATAGATAAGCCATCTACATAGTTACATAGTATTTGAGGTTGAATAAAGACATAAGTCCATCAAGTCCAACCTATTGTGTGTGTGCATTTATGTTTGAGCAGGTGTGTGTGTATTAGTCCATGTGTGATTTTGCGCTTAAGCGTACCTGTACCCCTGTATATTATGGTCTCTGAGGAACTCGTCCAGGAGTTTCTTGAATGATTCCACACTCTTAGCTGAAATCACTTCCTGCGGCATCGAGTTCCAGACCTTAACCGCTCTAACTGTGAAGAACCCCCTGCGCCCTGTGTGTTGAAATTTTTTTTCCACCAATTTTTTGTTGTGTCCTCTGGTCTTTGTTCCGGAGCTAACCGTAACCGGATTAACTGTATTAACTGTTTGTTAATACAAAGTAGTAAACTGCCTACGCAGACGTATTTGATGTTCCCTTCATTTATATGGGAATGTCATAATGGAGTGTAAGCTGATGCTGCACGTAGGTGGGTGGGCAGCACCAGCACAGGATGGTCTTTCTTGCCTTCATTGTGAGAGTTTATCATTAGCAGAAAGACCATGATGTCATCTCTCATACACCCTAAAGTTCATTAAATACATCGAGAAGAATCTCATTGGCCTTTGGGTAAAGGTGATCCCTTTTGAGTGAATTTTGTATCGCCTCCAATTTGCTCGATAACCCGCACATTACAAAAGCGAACGTTTTATGGCCCTTGTACAGAGTGAAAACTTTGCTCGGTGCTCTATGTCTGCTCAGTACTTACTTCATGAATAAGGCATTTGTCGATCAGCTGCAGGTAGGAGCTGATGTTCTCTTCATCCGGCCTGGAGACCAGGAGCTGTGTACAAACTGAAAGGAAGGAAAATAAACTCATTGACAAACTGGAACCTAATGAAATGAAATGGTCTGTCTCCAACGACTCCAGAAAGCAATTTACTTAATTGCTTATTGTCACACGCAGAGAAAATTGCCCCATTTCTCATAACCAACAGGGTGTGCCAAGCGCAATTAAAGACGGGAGATGGTGAGAATGATGGCACTCATGTGGACACACAGCAAGTCCCATAATTCAATTCTGGAACACAAATACGTCTGTCAGGTCCATATTTGGGGTCCATGCCCAACAGTGAGCGCCTCAAAGAGGCAACAAACTTTCCTGTAGGTACAACTGCTCTGTCCTCTAAGAGTATCAGTGATGAGGAACGACTACCACCCACGCGGTTCC